TGCTCTGAATTCAGAAGCAGTGCAGCATTGTCACCACATCACAGGAAGCTGTGGAATTCACTGGCAGGATTTGTGAGACTTTGTAGGCTAAGAAAGAGAAAACTGGAAGTGTAGATAGAGTTATAATTAAAGGGTAAGTTCACTCGCAGAAAAAAAAAAAGAAGGTACAAGTACCTTCTTTTTGCAATACACGACGCGCGGCTGTTTTAGTGTTCAGAAGCACAGGCGGAATAGCTGCGGGAAACCGCGCGATCCGCCCGGTGCGGCTGTGATGCCATTCGAAAATAATGGCACCCACAGCGCGATCAGTTCACACCTAGGCGACTCCTGACCGTGCAAGATTGCCACGCGGTGAGGTGTTGCCTAGGTGTGAACCTAGACTCAGCGTGCGGCTGAAGTGAACAAGCCCTAAAAAGTTAAAAAGAGCAAATACCTAAAATCTAGAAAGTGAGACGATTATTAACAATCGGTGCCATAAGCACTGACAGTCTGCAGAGTGCCATCATCAAAGGTGATCAGAATTCAGGTCACTGAGGTTACATCAGTAAAAGGGAACCGCAACTGTGTGCAATAGGTTACTGCACATCGCAATGCTCATTATAGAATAAGTCTCATTAGCTTAGATCCTTCAGCTGCCTCCTTTCCTGACACAAGACGTAGGAAGTCACGTACACAATAGGATAAGCCAATGACTCTGGCAGGTGTACAATACAAAGACAGCGACATCCCCGCAGTGTCTGATCCCACAGGCCTTTGTATGGAGATCTGATGCAGATCACACACACACGGCTGATTACACACACACACTAATACCTGTACCTGCACCCATGACTGATTACACACACACTAATACCTGTACCTGCACCCATGAATGATTACACACACACACTAATACCTGTACCTGCACCCATGACTGATTACACACACACTAATACCTGTACCTGCACCCATGGCTGATTACACACACACACACACTAATACCTGTACCTGAACCCAAGGCTGATTACACACACACACACTAATACCTGTACCTGCACCCAAGGCTGATTACACACACACACACACACACTAATACCTGTACCCATGGCTGATACACACACACACACTAATACCTGTACCCATGGCTGATACACACACACACACTAATACCTGCACCCATGGCTGATACACTAATACCTGCACCCATGGCTGATTACACACACACACACCTGCACCCATGGCTGATAACACACACACACTAATACCTGTACCCATGGCTGATAACACACACACACACACACACTAATACCTGTACCTGCACCCATGACTGATTACACACACACCTGCACCCATGGCTGATAACACACACACACACACACTAATACCTGTACCCATGGCTGATACACACACACACACATACCTTTACCCATGGCTGAAAGACACTCAGAAACATACCTGTACCCATGGCTGATACACACACACACACACTAATACCTGTACCCATGGCTGATACACACACACACACACACTAATACCTGCACCCATGGCTGATTACACACACACACACCTGCACCCATGGCTGATAACACACACACACACCTGCACCCATGGCTGATAACACACACACACACTAATACCTGTACCTGCACCCATGACTGATTACACACACACCTGCACCCATGGCTGATAACACACACACACACACACACTAATACCTGTACCTGCACCCATGGCTGATAACACACACACACACACACTAATACCTGCACCCATGGCTGATACACACACTAATACCTGTACCTGCACCCATGACTGATTACACACACACACACACACCTGTGCCCATGGCTGACTGGCTTTTTTGTTTCAAGTCTTTGTGTAGAAGGAAACAAAAACACATTATTAATAATTGAAGTACAATGGAGCAAATCATGCAAAGCGTGAGCTTTCCATACCCATCATCTAGTACACGTACATATGCACATACTAGATGCAGACTTGTCTGATCCGGGAGAACCGTTCATAAGTCCCAACTACTTCATGTGTGATCCTTTGCAAACCAAAACACACATTGAGTTGAGTAAAAAGACACTGGGGGGGAATCAAAACTGGAGCAGATTTGCCCATGGCAACCAGCTTCTCTCTCTCATTTTCAAATCTTACCTGAGGAAATTTAAAAAAGAGAAGCTGATTGGTTACCATGGGCAACTGCTCCAGTTTTGATAAATTCCCCCCACTCTCCTCACTGCTAGAGCCGGCGTGGGACACTGCAGCTGTGCCACACTGGCAATATACTGAGAGCTGAGCGATGATGCTACCACTGATTGCTCAGCTCACGGACTGTCAGTCACTGCTCCCTGCAGGGATTCCCATCTCTGTTCCTTCAGTGCTCATTGGGGGAACTGGGAGGGAAGGGGCAGGGAAAGCCAGCTCTGGCTCTAGAGAGGCCCCCTATGTGATAAGCACAGAGTAAGTGACAGGTCCTCTTTATTAGACACAGAGGGGATTTATAAAAACTGGAGCAGACAAAATCTGGAGCAGCTGTGCACGGCAACCAATTAGCTTCCATCTTTCATTTTCAAATCTTAACTGAACAAACTAATGAGAAACTGATTGGTTGCCATGGGCAACTGCTCCAGATTCTGTCTCCTCCAGTTCTGATAAATCCCCCCCATAGTGTCACCTATTGACCCCACTGAAGCTCAGATCGTGCTTTCACCAGCAGACAGTCTGCATCCAAATGTGTGCACCCGGAACTGAATGGATGTGCGGGTTCGGGTCAGCGTGTAGCCACGCCCTGTCATCAGGATGTACAGGTGATTGCATGCAGTTACAGGATGCACGTCCCTCTGGGAGCTGGTCTCTGCATGGACGCATGACTTATGGATGTGAAATACCTAGTGAATGAGGCCTTAGGTCTACTCTAATGCATTTACAAAAGCTACCAAGACTTTTCCCCGAAAGTAAGACCTACCCCGAAAGTAAGACCTAGCACTATCTTCAGAGATTTCTGTAATATAAGACCTGCCCCGGAAATAAGACCTAGTTCAGCTTTTGCCTCAGCTTTTACGGTACATAGAAAGCTGCCGCTGAAAACTACATTTCCCAGCAGGCAGCAGCATGGCCAGTGGGGTCGGAGTGAGGTCAGGTGAGGTGAGGGAACATCTGACCGGTCCGTGCGACGAGGTGGCTCCCTGGAGGGCATTAGAGAGGAGAGCTCCAAGGCAGCTGCAGCCTTCAGGTACCGTGTGCTGTACAGTACATTCCATATCTCTGCTCTGTGTGACACCTGTGTGCCTCGGCTTCCGCAGCATATTTTATCTCTATTTAAATTATGGTAGAAAAAAAAAGTATGTGGAGGGGCTGCTCAATGGAGAGGAAAAAAAAATAAGACCTAGTGTGTTTTTTTGGGGGGGAAAAAATATAAGACAGTGTCTTATTTTCGGGGGAAACCGGTAACTTCGCTGTGAAGACTAAAATAGTTGTTCAGACGCACAGGTACTGAGGACCCTCAAGTCATTCAGAGATATAGATGACGCACAGGCCATGCACTGCTCTATACGGTAGCAGCTGCTGGGATAGTTCAGTTAGTGGAACTCTCATCACAACAATAGCAATTTATGAAAACTGGAGCAGTTGCCCATGGCAACCAATCAGTTTCTCTCATTTTCAAAGCTTAACTGAACAAACTAAAAGAGAAGCTGATTGGTTGCCATAAACAACTGCTCCAGATTCGGTCTGCTCCAGTATTCATACATGTTGTATATGTAAACAAAACAAAAAACACAGGAAATGGAGATACACAAACACGCGGATGTAAACATTGTCCAACCTGTCAGGTTTCTATTTAAAGAATCAGATAATTATTTAAATAGAAATAAACAGGTCAGACAGGTGGCATCGCCACACCCTTCCCCAGCAGAACTCTGTCTATAGATAATTCTATGTGTTCTATATCCCCCCCAGAACACAGCAAACGCCCCCTCCCCCATGTACAGTCTGTATAAAGTAGTATCACCTTTCCCCTCCAAGACACAGGGATGCCATATGTCCGGCTTCCAACATCCCAGACATTACATGAGAAAAGTCACCCTACCAACAGACAGGGGATACAGGTTTCAGCTGTCCTCATGTTACACAAGCAGCAGCATCCCCGCACCCCCCAGGGGGCACAGTGCTCCACATCCCTCCAAAAACAGAGATGGCAAATGTTCAGCTACCAA